AGAGAGAGGTAACTATGTGCCAAGCACTGAGCTATAAGTTTACAAAGTATAGGCTTACAAAGGTGAAAATACAGTTTCTTCCCTCAGAGAGCTTATAATTTAGAGAAATGGACATGTTAACAGATGTCCAGAACACACACAAAAGTATCTGTGCTATAACTATGCATGGGGTTGTATGGGAGAGCGAATGAAGGGAGATAAACTACAAGAGGGAAGGCTTCCTGGAGGAGAGGACAACTCAGCCGTCTTATTAAGTTTATGGTATAGCTTAATGTTAGAGAGAAGTGTGTGGAAGTAACCACTGTATCAACAGAATTAAGAAAGGACACGATGAGGTTTTTATGAGAGGTGGGTGCACAGAGGAAGGATCACCAGTCAGCCTAGGACTGAAAGACTTCTTGGAGAACAAAATTCTTGATTGAGCCTTGGGGAGTGAATAGGATCATTACAGGCAGGAAAGATTCCAGAGGGAACAAGTTATCAAGATATGGAAGAATTACATAGATTTAAGGAACTATCAGTTCGGTGAAGCTAGAGTATAAGTGACGTCAAGCATACATTGGAAAATGAAAACTGAATGCTGAGTAGGGACCAGATCACTCAAACGCTGTTTTCTATGTGGAGATTGTGGGGAGCAGGAGAGCGCATTTCCTACCTACAATGATCGCTAGTTACTTCGATACGGCAGATCAGCTCCATTGGACAGCGCTGTTCTGTGCCTACAGTCATCTGCTTTGGAGCCAGTGTAAAAGACACACCAGCAATTTAATGAGCCAAATGGGATGAAATGAGGATATATGGAGGACAGTTTCACAATGTTACTATCAGCAGAATTTAGTGACTGATTAGATTTATAAAAATCAGGGAGAAAGAGTGCACATGACTCTGATTTTCGACTTGGATTGCTTGAAAGATGATGATGTCCTCAGCCACTTTAGCTGCTGACCGTTTTGATGTGGCGTGAGCCCGAAAGGGGAATGTATTATAAGCAGAGTAACAGCTAGGAGTTACTGAGTATTTACTGTGCCAGGCACTACTCTGAAAGCACTATAGTATCTCATCTCCTCCCCATGATAGCATTGATAAACTAGGTAATATTTTCATCCCCATTTTACAGATGAGGAAACCAACTTCAGAGCTTTTAACCAAGGTCACATAGCTAGTAAGTGGTAGAGATAAGATCTAAATCCAAACAGCCCAGTCCAGAGTCTGTGCTCTTAATCACTATCAACATTTCCTTGCCTTGGCTACGTTTTGTCGCACAGAACACATCCCTTCCCCCAAAGGAATATAGACAGCTTCCAAGAAGGGCTGGAAATAAGAGACAGGAAAACTTGGCAAATAACTCATCTTTTATAGCCCCCTGGTGGAGTGCGGTGATATTGCAGGAACATGGTTAGTAGTAGTTCCCAAGTTCACAGGGTTGAGTTCCAGCCACAGTGGGTCTCTTACCTTTTCTCTCTCAGTTTTATTCTTATTTTCACTCTTACTCTCTTTCTAGACACCAAATTCCTAGCAAAAGAATTCTGACTGAACTGAGATTACATGTCCAACTCTGGTTTGGCCACTGGGGGCTGGGAGAGGTACTGACAGCTGCTTGACGGAACGTCTCTGTATGTCAGAGGCATTTTATTCCTTGAGAATGAGGGTAGAGTGTATAGAGAGTCCCAGAAGTTTCTATCATCAAACATCTTTGGACTTGAAATTTAAAAAGCCTGAATTTAGATCTGTTTTACACAACTACCCTTAACAAGTCATTGGTTCCCTCTGGGTCTTGATTTCCTAAAAAATAAAGTATCCATAATAATCCTTGCCCGGCCAACTTCCAACCGAATAGAGTCATTCCTCCCCTTCTTCCTAGGAGAACTAAGACTTATCGTGCATAAGCCCTATTTTAAGTCCCTTACATTTTATTGACTTAACTCTTTCATTAACCGTATGAGGTAGGTGCTTATTTATTCTCATTTTTAAAATGGAGAAACTGAGAAACAGAGAGAAGATAAGGAAACCTTGCTCAAGTACACAGCTATAAACAATGGATCAGGGGATAGAGCTTTGGAGTCCATGTCCTCAACAACTCCTAAGATGGATGTGAAAACATCTTCAAAGCACAATTCAAACATACGAGATTGTTATTACTGTCAAGCACTGCATTTTTAATACCAGAAAACAATGATATGGTCAGAGGATCAAACCCATGAAACACGACTGTGCATTCGGATCCTTGTTTATACAAGATTTCGTACTCTGATGTTGTCCTATTTTGGTAGTTGTAGACAAAAAACATTTTCAATTTGGCTCAAATTATTCCATGGGAGTCTTTTTGTTTGGCTTTTGTAACAAATATTTTGATGCCGACATGAGAAATTGTGGGTTCACACAGTTTCATAGCTTAAAAAAATTGTGTAATTTATTGCTGCTTTGGGACCTCGGTTTCACTCAGTTCTGATTCCAGAGTAAGGTCCCATGGCAAAAGAAAAGAAAAGCATGATAAAAGTAGGGAGAGTGACTGAGTCAAGGAGCAAAGAGCCGAAGAACCATGGCAGAGGGCCAGGTTGGGAAGTGAATCTCTGCCACTTCCCAAAGCAGGCTGATCAAGACACTTTTATCTGCAGGAGAGTTACCAAACTGAGAGCAAAGGGAGGGGGTGTGTCAGGATACGGTGGCACTCCAAGAACAAAGTGTAAGCCCTGTGATACCACTGGGTGCCCAGAAGCTGGGCTGGAGATCCCCGAAGAGGGCAAGAGTGTTGACCAGAAGGTCCACCACTAATGTGATACAATAATTGTGTGCGCATCAAATTTGCTTCTTTCTTTTCTGCTTTTAACTAATTCAGTTCATCAATAACTATGAACCGAATTTAAACTACAGCTTATCTTTTTGCAGAAGTTTAGATGGCTACACTTTCAGTCAAGTGTTCACCCTGGCTTAATCAGCTGTTTCCCAGACAGAGATTCAAGGTGTAGCCAGTGTTCCCTCAGCCACAGCTGTAGTCAAAGAATATTCTAGTAGAAGAGGTCGTGGCTGGGTAGACACACTAAACTATCCAAAATTATCTCCTAGCCCTGACTAATCATGCATTTATGTTAAGGTTGCACGATAGCCTGAGGCAGATAATTTTTCTTCACAAAACTTGAGCTTTCTTTTGAAAGATCAGAGTATCTAAATGATAAAACAGAATTAAAAGGGAAACTGAGGACTAATGATGCAGTAAAGACAACAGGTGCAATAAAAACCTGGAGAAAACAAAGCCGAATGACAAGGGTGGTAGGAGAGGGCTTCCGTGAGGAACTTGGACATGACCTAGATGTGGAAGGACTGCTGGGTTTGGATAGGGATGGGTACAGGCCATTCCATGGAGGAGAAGGTGGGAAAGGGGAAGTTCTTCAATTCATAGATTCATTTATGCAGCAGGTATTAACTGAACTTTTCTTTTGTGGCAGATCCTGTGCTGCAGTGTGCAGGTGTGCAAGGGTGCCCCATACATTCTTTAAGAATGAATCGACGGAGAATCCACATAAACAGGAGAGATGTATTAGAGAACAGTAGAAGATGCAAACTTGAGATGAGGCCAATTAACACGGAGAGGCTTGAAAGCCAAGCAATGGACTTTTAGGAAACAGAAAACTATTAAAGGTGCTTAAATTAAGAAACGTCATGATGAAATTGGCATTTAAGGAAGATGAATTGAGCCAAGATGTACAGCCAGGAGATAGAGAAGCCAGCCAGAAGAATACTGTCACAGACTAGGTATGAATTATTGAGACCTGATCCACATTGTTGGCAGAGCACAGAGAGAAAAAGACTGGCATGAATGATATTCTAAAGGGAGAAGACAGGAGAGAATAAATCAGTGACACTTCTGAGGTCTTCCTGCCGTAACCAGAGGTGGTAGACGGGGCAGAGACTGAGGAATCAGGAGGAAGAGTATGTTTGGACATCTTCTTAAACATGATGTGATGCCGACAGAAAGCCCCGATTGTAACTCCATTAATGACACAGTCAGGGCATTTCTCTTCTTCTTTGCTATTTTCTTTTTCCTAACTCATTTCTGGCACCTGATTTCTAGTGGAGGCAGAGAAAAGAAACATGTCTAACATCAGGCTTCTTCACATCTTCAGCGGATGACACGACTGCACTTAGAACGTCCTTGTGAAGAGGATGGCTGTCCCCAAATTGAAAAGGGTTCCTGTGTGGTGTCGAACAGCTGGCTGTGTCCTCTAGAACACACGATTCTTTCGTTGGCACATTGATTTACTAACCCAGGCTGCTTTCAGCAGAGGCCGGCACACTGAGTTAATGGCCTTGGCTGAGCAGGTGCGAGGGACGGGGAACAATGCCCAGCCACCCAGGATGGATGCCAGCCTCAGCTCACCCCGCCCCCAAGGAAGCATTTGTTAGCTGTTCACCCACACGGTAAAGTGTGCTCTGAGAGCACAGCATCAAGGACACAGATCCAGCTCAGAGCAGAAAAGTTCATGGGAGCCAACTCACTGGGGAAACAAAATAAAAAGTGTATACTCACCGCCAAAACACTGCCTTTCTTTCCCCCAAATGTTTCCAGCTCTTAGCCTCTTTCTGTGGCCAAAGCAGAAGGCTGCGGTTCCTTCTGATCTCTGTGGCCAAACTCTCATTTTCCCCCAGAAAGTAAGCTGCGTATCTTCACAGAGAGCGTAACCCAGACAATCTGTCCCAGAAGCAGTGTCTGGGGACAACAAGGGCTGTGCGTCGGGTCGTCCGTCCCACCCCACCCCTGCCGCCACAGTTCACTGTCAGTAGGATTTTTACCTTTTGAACAGAATAATTTTAACCCAAACAGAACTGGGAAACCATGACAGCTAGGCTGGGGTTGGCACCCAATCAGTCTGGTTTAAAGAGGGAGAATTCAACCCTCCTGATACCAGATTTTTGGATGAAGTCCCTCGAGTGGGATTTTAGGTCCATAAAGTCCAGGAAGCTTGGGGAATGATTATATGTTTCACTTTTCAGTAAATCCTCACCGAGATCCAATCTCATTGTTAGAGGGAAGTATCTCTATCCTCGAGGGTCTCTCCATCTTCAGGTGTTTCCCAGTCTTAATCTGTCTCGAGTGCATCCATTAACTGCAACTCGGCTAACAGCTCACCAAGGCCTGAAACACAAAGTCTGAACTTCACCACTTGATACCACGACAGCCCGACCCCAAACTAAATCTTTATTCCTCATCTGTCTTCTGCACATAGGCTGCATCTCACTCCCTCCCCGCACTTCCTGCTGCCTAGAAAACCCTTCCCTTTTGATTTCGAATATTTACATGCAATCTTTATTTCAAAAGCCAAGATGTGGAGATGGGAGGAGGGACAGAATCAGCATTCACTACCTGCCAGATACTGTGCTGTGAACTTTATATATTTATATCATGTCATTCCTCCAACACCATAATGCTAGTATTTCAGAAAAGATGTAATTTTAGAAAAGATGCAAATGAGGCTCATTGAACTTAAGGAA